AGACAATCATTCTGTGTGCATAGTTGAAACCGAGACTCCTTTCGTTGCAACGGAATAGTTTCTCTGAAAACTAATAACTTTGCCTCTTTGGACTCGCCCTTGTAACACAAGTATTTTTTTTATAACCATTCTCGTACAAGTTTCTTTATTATAAACTGATAACATATGTAATTCATCTTGATATACAGGTACAGATTTCAAAGGTAACTCACCTCCATTGTATGGTCCCTTTCCCTTTTGGGCCAAAAGCTGCTCGAGTTGGACAATAACCTACAAGGGATACGTATTTAAACATTAACCGTCGCCTTTTTTCTGGAAGGTTCACAACTCAGTCTCACAAACTCGCTCGATGGTTTTTCACCTTTTCTTGTTTCTTGCAGGTATCTTGAATCGTCTGTGCCTTTTGTACCTTTCCCTGCCAGCAAAGACACTCCAGATCAGTTTTTTCAACCCAAACATAGAGTTTGTACATGTGTGAGCAAAAGACGGTGACACAAGTAGAATTAGGAGTGGTTGTGGGAATTTAAAAGAAAATTGGACTCTACAATTGCACTGACAGAACTTTTTGACCAGGGTAATAGGAGAAATTCCACCACACTACAAAGTTTACAAGCACCATTCTAGCACTTTTTCTTTAATATGTCTTTTCCATCCCTTTTTCAGGTCGTGGAAACTATATCATCAAGAAAAGTACGGCAAGTTATCACGATGGCAATTCTAGACTATGAATGAACACAGCATTCTTTAAAATGCACGTTATTTAGGGTTGACACCATTAGGTTACGGTGACACCATTAGGTTACGGTGACACCATTAGGTTACGGTGACACCATTAGGTTACGGTGACACCATTAGGTTACGGTGACACCATTAGGTTACGGTGACACCATTAGGTTACGGTGACACCATTAGGTTACGGTGACACCATTAGGTTACGGTGACACCATTAGGTTACGGTACGTTGAATTAAGTTATGTTCACAGATTACCAGCACTAATTTTTCAAATGCGACAAGAACTAACAAAATTATACATCTATTTGTTATAGCACATCTCACTCACCTGCAACTTTTGCAGAAGTGCCTGTTGCCCTTCGTGAGCTTCTTGTAGTTTCAAAAAATCCTTCTCCATCTCATTTTTCTGTAAATATATAACTTCGTCAGTATATCTCATACAAATTCTGGGTGAGATTAATCTTTCAAAGGTAGCTTTTTGTGTATAGAAGTATTAGACATGTCATTGCTAATAATTTCAAAACGTTAATGAACAAGCTAACGATAAGGAAAGAGATAGCAGCTGCTAGAAGGCCTGAGGATCACTTATCGGATCTTATGAGTAAATCAGGGACAATATAAAGCCACCTTGATAAGATCATTCTGAAGGTGTTGAAGTCTTGATTTCATTTCTTGTTTCTTTGCGGATTCATCTGCCAACTTCTTTTTCAGGAGCACTGCAAGTGCGAAAATTCGAAAAGTAGAAAGTTATGTTGCGGTGTCGGTCATCGGCAGAATGAAACCAGTAAAAACACGAAGACCCAGTCAAGCATTTCATAGTATTTGCTAGAGAACACCAACACGACTGCTCTATGCAAACAAAAACTGACAGCATTAGTCTGTGATAAAAAACAGGGTTTAACATGTGAACAAGAACAAGTGCAAGGACACGGGCTACAAGGCAGGAGGAGGAATGTATTTCGCTCAACATGGCTTGAAGTAAAACACAAAGTTTCAAGATCGTTATTTTAGTATTAGCTGCTTTTCATTCATTAGTCTTTCACCCAATTGTAAGAAAACTTTAACAGTAACTGTTTTAGGCAACGACGACGTTGTGCTTCATAGCGGCCGAGAACAAGGGTACAGCAACTCTTACCAAACTTCTGTACCAGCTCAGAATGTGTCACATTATCTAAGTCTTTGGAGCTGACCATTAACCTGGATATCTCGTCATGTTGGCCCAACTCTCTCCTCAGCCTACTGTTGGCTTCCTAAAATAATAAATTGCAACTGAAAATAAACTTAACTTGATCGTCCCTTGATAATTTAAAAATTTATCGCAACCTAGAAGCACACAAGCCTTCTAGAATTAAAAAATGGTTGAAATGAAGCAACGTTTTCGCTGAGCTGGACTTGTGCAAACAACGAGTTGAAATTACCAACTCATCTTACTATACTATACTATACTATACTATACTATACTATACTTTACTATACTATACTATACTATACTATACTATACTATACTATACTATACTTACTAAAACAAGACAGTTCCTAATGCAACTAATCACCTCTAAACGTTTGCAATCCTCTCGCACGTGCAGGAGATCAGCTGCCATCTTTCTCATTGCCGTCCTGTAGCGATCCACCTCCTGCAAATCCCACAAGAAGCAACATGTCTAAATGCTAATGATATTGTCTCCACGAATTTTACAAAAACAAATCTTTATTCTTTTCTTAAATTGACCTTTACAGAACATTCCATGCTATCCTTAAAACTGATGGAACTTCAGCACAGATCTTTTTCCTGACACAAACAGCGACTGGAAGGAGAATTCAAATACTTCTGACGTGCTTCCATATCAACGTAAAAACTGAAAAGCCACGGCTATAGCATTTTAAACTAAACAGTACAGACCAAGCTCTTTAACAAGCACCAAGGAAAAGAACTCTATACTTCCGCCTACCCTCGTCGTCTGAAAAACACGTGTGCTTTAGTTGCTTAATAATACTGTATATCGAGATACTAGAAATTTAAAGTTTTTTTGTGATGGCAACAACCATTCATGTTGTTGATTTTAAGAATGTGGCACTACTTATCGGAAATATTTTCACATTTTTTTCTCAAAAATCATCGGCTTATTTATGCACGTTTACTATCGATATGACCAATAACGAAAAATGAATCTTAACCTACTTTTTGGATACTGAAATTGCACCTATACCTTCATTTGGTAATCCATGACAGCAAGACTGTTGGCATCAAGCTTGCCTCTGACCTTAAAATGAAGGAACGTTTAACATACAACCAAAAAAGGGAAAAGGAAAAAGACTTCCACATCATATTCTCATAACTGCATTCTCTTCAAGATAAATCTATCAATGCATTAAGATGTTCATCTTGCTATAACCGAGACGAAGCCAATTCAACCGTTACAGATAATCTTCAGTCGTGTGGGGTAATTTGTTACACTGCTACATCAAGGAAATTTTACCTTTCACGACACAAAATAAAATATGCAGTGTTGCAACAGAGCTACAATAGTAATTTAACTACATTTCTTTGCGTTACTTTGCTTTCCTGTTTAAATATTAGGGATCATAAATAATTTACTTAAGGAAAGCAGATTTGAAGCTACCATCTGTTTGTAAAAAGTGCTCACCTCCGGAGGAATCTGGCTTGACCCATAAGCATCAACGGTTCTAATAAAGAGAGTACCAAATGGAAACCTCGTAAAAGAAGCTTGCGAGTTAAAAGAATCTCGTTTGGCTTGGCCTCAATGAGACCATAAAGACCCCCCCTCCCCCCTGAGTCCGTGAAAGTAAGAAAGGGAGGGGTACGGGGGTGGTTGGTTTGCCATACATCTGATGTACATGAGTAAATATATTTTTATATTGCTGCAAAAAAAAAATTTTTTTCCAGTTATTGATTTTACAGAATAATTAATACCACTTCGTGACTGCATGGAAATTGTACCGGGATTGTACAAAGATGAATTGAAGATCAGGAACGAGAGTCAATTTCAAACGACGACAACATCCGTACTTGACATCCTTTTAAGCACACCATAAATACCCGATATAACAGGGGGAGCTAGTGAATTCGTTGTCCCCTGTTATCATTTTTTTAAAATTCTTCTTTAAATCACGAGGGGTCTTTTGGATAGATTTTAAAGAAGTAACGCGATGCCTTCACCATGATATGTCAGCCCTTTCTTGTGCATCGTCTATATCTGCCCCAGAAGTGAAATACTTCACTAAAGCCTCACCCTTCTTGAGGTGATAATTTCCCCAGTGGCACATATTCTTTGACTGGTTCATTTCTTGGCGCAGTGTATAAAGAATGAAATTGTGGCAACATTTTTTTGACTGCATTCATTGGAGGAAGCCCATAAGGTGCCTGGAAAGAAAAAACAGAAACAAGTTAGTGAATCTAACCCTGGTTCCTCAACGTATGTTTCCTCTGTGTAGTATCTTTACTGAAGAGTCATGTTTATCTAGCCTTAGCAACTGGAAACCAGCTAACTTTGAAGCCGGTTCGGGCATCAAGGCGTGTAATCCCTTTAACTTACTGGCAAGGCATCTCATCGGTTGAGGGGAGGAGAGGCCATTAGTTTCACTTCTTTTATGGCTTCGGAAATTTCTGTCCGCGTCATACTTATGAAAAAAATTAAGCTAAATTCCTCTTTACCAATCAAATTCACGATTATAAATTAACCACCTGTCCTGCTTTTCCGAAATTCTCTGCCTGTACAGACTCATCATGAGGTGCTGCTTGAGGTCCTTCCCCGAAAACTGGTAATGAAGACAAGTGGGCGGCAGACAAGAGCTGGTCAGGTTTCTGTAAGACAAAAGCATGTGTGAGTGACAAAACGATCCCATCTGTAACCACGAGAGACCAATTTCAATGTATATTGTACTAGTGTGATACGTAACCAACTCACAACAAAAACATACCATAAGAAACACCTTAAAGGAAAGTTACAGTCTACATACGGGCCAATTTTCTCAAATTGCCAGGTTTCTGGTTTCTTAAGTATGACGCGAAAGGAAATTTTGCTACCTTCCCACCCCCTCCCCCCTTGTAAGGTATCAGACCTCTTAAAACAGAATTCATAGCACTGATAAACGGAAGATTCATCTATCTTCTAATCAAAAACTATTAATTGATCAATCTTCCTCAGTCAGTAAAACTGACATAAAGTATATATATGTGTGAACTCTTTACCAGCTGCATACAGCGATATTTCTACATACCTCATCTGTGACAAGTCTGAGTACCATTCCAACGGTGGGGCCTAAGCCAACAGCAGTTCTCAGATTGGAACCCTAGAAACATACATTAGAAACATAAATTAAAACAACAACAAGCAAGTTTTCCTCAGTGCCTGGTAACAAAAATTTTGACTCTGGAGGAACTTAAGGTCCACAGAACTCCCTTTAATTTATAGGAAAACAGAGTAAAGCAATAAGAAAATAATTAAAAAACCAGATTACTTTTGCTAACAGTGGTTGTCCTAATTCATACTATTAAACTTTTTGTTCATGTCATGTAGGTTTAACTGTATTGATCCATGTTTTTCAGTTTTGAATCTTGCCTTAAAAAATTCAATCTAAAACTTTCTTATATTACAGACAGAACTAATTGAGGAAAGATGTTTGACACTTGTCACAAGAGGTGGAACAGGGAAACAGTTTTGAATCCACAACCATTCAAACCTCAATCTCCTAATTTTGTGGTCATTTTGTAGTCAGTTTTGTGAAAGTGACCATGATAAAATCAGAAGGTGAGAGATTCAAATCCTTGCAGATTTCTTTTTATTTTTCATGACCCCTTTGTTACCATTATAGTAAGGTTACATATATGTGACATAGTTAACCAAAGAACCCTAGAAATTCACCTCAACTGGCAGATTATCTACCCTTAGCCCCATTTTTGCACTGTCCCACTGCAAGCTGGAAAGCAGCAACTGATCCATTGTTTGGTAGGAGTAACCAACAGGGCTGGTTAGCTGCCAACAGTCTCTGGTCATTGCTGTTCAATATAATCAACAGTACCAGTTTTAGCCATGTGCAAGTTTGTTTACAAATTCAAGTAGCCTACCACACCAGAGCAAAATCTCATAACATAGAGAGCTATGTGTATTGATATCTTATCCCAACCTACTCCTACCCCAAATATTAGGTGATCAATATAAACAGGTGAAAATGATTTACATAATAGCCTTTTCAACTGGTCAAATAGAAAAAGTCAAGTCTTAAGGATCAGCAGCCTATTAATTGCACATCTCAACTTGGTTTCCATAACATCTTAGAGTATTGTTTCTCCCCTAGATTGGCTAGTCCCAGTCTTTCAAAAAATTTCCCTGACAATTCACCAGTACCCACCTATACTTCTAATCGAGTGCCCTGACCAAGAACACACCACAATAATCCTCATCAGGTCTTAAAATCACATGTCATAACAAGAGAACAGTTTAGTAACCACTAAGCTGTGTTTTCTACAAACAAGTACAAGCAGTATCTTATTGTAACACAAGTGCATCACTATTATCTTACCAAGTGAAGCTGGGTAATATTCTAAAACTAAAGCTGATTCAGTAGTGAATAAACTTGATTTATCCCCTAGAAAAAACATAGTCTGGTTCCACTGTGGCTGTTCCTGGGGCCCAGCAGTGGTTGTCAGTTGTGGAGCTCCATACTCATTTGTCGTTCCTGCTATGGCAAATGATGTCGGGTGTGGAGATGGGAAGTGAATGGTGGTCACTGTTATCCCAGCTGGTCTGGGCTGGGCTGATAACATGGTTTCCCTTGGATGAACACCACATTTGTCAGGAATTAATGAGAGGTAAAGTAATGAGCAAGTCAAAGGAGTGCTCTATTTCTGTGGTAATTCATAGTTTACATATCGCTTATCCTTTAAAAATATACTTGTCACAAATATTTACAACAAATTATTTGAATAGTTACTTCTTCTTTAACCCTTTAGCCCCTAAGAGTGACGAGCATCTAATTTCTCCTCACTATATCACCCCTGAATTAAACATGAAAATTATGAGAATAGAAGAGATGATCTCTAACTAAAGCAGCTCTTGATTGTTAAATAAATTCTCCTTGTCAGCCTCCTTGGACTTGTATGGAGGACAGTATAGAGAATATGTATACTGATATTAGGATGTAAAGGGTTAAGGTTGTTTAACCATACTATGGCATCATGTTCAGCTGATATTTTCTGTCATCATCATCATCACACACATTGGTATTCTGTGCTTATTCTATTCAAATTCAGCTATCATTAATGTTTGGTGCCAGTAACTTCATTACACTCTATTCATTTCTTATTATTTTGTCCACTTGATTCCTTCTTGAAAATTATTAGGACGGTTATTGCATGGTTATTATTTTAGCTAAAGGTACAGGTACACGTACACTTACTTGTATTGTCTCCAGTCATTCACAATTCTTCCTGTTGCAATTAGTGGACCCATTTGACTTAAAATGGGTGAGTCCACGCCCCTCAGTAATACCTAGGATAAAGCAAAAGTGGACACTGCAGGAGATTTCCTTTTAATAAAGTCAACATTGTAGCAGATGACCAGCCTAGCTCTCCAAAATCACATGCCACTCTCTTGCGTTTGCTTTACCTCTATGCCATAAATTTTTGCATCTACAGAAGGAAGAGGTAACTTGTCCAGTTTCTTCATCAGTGTGATGTACAGTCTTGTATCACCACTAAGTTCTGAATTGGGCTGTTGAAAAAAGCAAAACAAAAAAAAAAACCAGGCACAAGAGTCAAATGAACGTCTACAGATTAATAATCTGCACAAGGATCCAGGTGGCCCAATTATCACCGAAATTTATCCTGGATTCCATGACTCAAAGTGACTAAGGACACTTAACATCAGTAAAAAATGGCGACCAAAACACCACTCAATTTATAAACAAGTAGCTCTAGCCTGCACTCTTCCACCCAAGCTTTTGAGCAGAGTAAAAGAACAGCTGAGAAAACAGCCATAGGAAGCCTACCTGCATGCTTCACTCTTCCAAAAATCTGTGAATAAATAGTATGCCCTTTTCACACACACCAGTGTACAATACCTGAACCAACTCCAAATGATATTGATGAAAAGGCTTCAAATGACTGAGTGGCATTGTAAACTCTGTCAGTAACTCTTTGCTGGGATGGTCTGCCACCAGCAAGATAACAGCTGTGCAAGAAAAAAAATAGGTATTCATGTAAATATATGCCAGTTTGCTAACAGCTTGTTTGAAATTTTTGTAAGACAAACCTTCATTATTAGCTTCATCCTCATTAACTTCAATCAGCAGCAGTTCCTCCCAAGATGGAGAGTGTGTTGGTTGAATGACAGCATGGGTCACTGACTGTCCCATTTGCATCTGGGTCACTGCTCTTCTGGACTTCCTGTAACAATGTAACAAAATGTTCCAATAGCCCTTTATCAATGTTAGTAACAAGAATAAATTGTCATGAATGAATAACACTGTTTGATCAGAGTGAAGTGTTTCCACATCACTTGGTGGAGATGAAAGTCAAATTTGTGGATGTACATGTATACCAAAAACCCTAGCATAGTTAATTAAGTACTTACATAAATTGTTTCTACCTTCTTTGGCAATGACTTCATATCCATTGTTACTTTTAAAGCACTAACAATGGCATAATAAAATAATCATAAGCTGTTACATGATATAAGGATGTCAGACAAACTATTGTTCTTTTACCAGTCACTCAGTAGTTTCTACAACTCACCCCACAATGTATGGCTGTGGAACCCTTCCATCAGATTTCATTGGCAGTCCTAAAGCACCATGAATAAGAACTGCTACTTCACATTTTCCTTCTCTTGCTGTGTTGCTTCCACATAGATGATGCACAGGTATACTGTTAACATGTGAACCAAGGGCAGACTCCTGGATCTGATTGGATGAAATGTGTGATAAACCCTCAAAAAACAGTACAGGTCAGGAGTCAGGGAGAGCAACTAAATTGAAGGGTGACTGTGTCAGGTGAGGGGGGGAGGGGTGGAGATAGGGTGAGAGGGTGATGGGAAGGGAGTGGCTGAGGCTGAAGAGCAAGAAGCAGGGGGGGAGGGGTGGAGATAGGGTGAGAGGGTGATGGGAAGAGAGTGGCTGAGGCTGAAGAGCAAGAAGCAGGGGGGGAGGGTTGTGTGACATGTAAGAGGATGGGGAGTAGGCAGTGCATGAGGAAAGGGCATGAGAATGATAAAGGTTATAGGTTAGAGGTGAGGGAAAGGGGATGCGAAACAAGGGGGAAGAGGTAAAGAATGAGAAGTAAGGAAGTGATAAGAGGATGCATGGAGTGAGAGGTAGGAGTAAGAGGTATGGATGGGGGTACCTGCCTTCAAAATATCTTATGGTTGACATCAACAGAACAAGAATAAACAGGTAACTTACAGTGACCCCCACATCTTACCTTAGACTTTCAATAAAACCTCATGTAAGTCAGTGCACAAGAAAAATTGTTTAACCCATTAATTCCTGCAAGTGATTAACTTGTAACTTCTTCCTATAATACATGTACATTATCCAGCCACCAGGTAGTGAGAATACTCGAACTTATCAGAAAGAAGTTGTTATCTTGATCTAACACCAAATTCTCATAACCTATTTACAAGGAATTGTGTGTCAGTTAGAGGGGAGAATTAACAATCAGATCATGGGAGTTAAAAAGCATTAAATAAAGCATAAATTGGAGAAAAGTTACTCACTTTTTTAAACCCTGCTGGAGTATCTGGTGCAGTTGAAGGACCTGGTTTAGGTTCTCTGGAAATTTGAATTGGTTGTGGCTTCTTAGAAGGTTCTAACAGGAAAAAAAAAACATTCACAATCAGGAGTAATTTCAACAATGGAAAAACAATCTGTCACAGCATCATAAGCCTCTTTTCAGCTTCCCACTTGCTTAACGCTGCTTTTTATTCCTAAGCTTCATTCTGTTGATACCAAATGGAGTTCCTTTTGCAATTATTACAATTACTTTTAATGGCACAGTGTTGATCATAGTCATTTGAAAAAATTCACAAACCAAGTGATCTAAGCTTCATGAGTGGTGCATCATCCTTACAAGTAAACATTATCACTTCAGGATATATACTGAAACCTGACTGTCTTTCTGTGCAGGATGGAAATCTTTCTCTGTTGCCTCTTTCCTTCACATTTGCAACTCTTGCCTCATCACTTTTTTCAACAAAACGCAACCTGTTATCTGGAGTTCTCCATCTACAGCTATCATATTGTAGTTCCTGTTCAGTTAAATACTCTCTCTTCACTGTTGCAAGTTCTAATGGACTTTTGTCCACATGGTCCACCATTGGCTGCATTGCTTTAAACCAACTCCCCTCAACTTCTGGTGGCATCAGTTTCTCTTCCAAAAATCTTTCTACTTTATCATTGGTCACCTCATTTACATCAAGCTTTCTGTCTAACTCTATGCCACTTGTTATCTGACTATCTGAGCTATCAATTGAGTTTCCTGTTTGTTGGTTGGACATCTTATCAGGAGCACACCTGAAATGACTCTCCTTTTCCCCTAGAACACAAGTTCTGGCTTTTAAAAAAGGTTAATTTGCTGTTCAACACAACTGTAACTGATATGCCACAAATTATTTATAATAAATAATACTGCTGTGCAATGACCCTCAGAAATCATCAGTAAATGACACTAACTGCTCCCTAAAAGTACCAAACAGTATACCATGATAGTTATAAAGCTTACAGAAAATTGAGTAAGCCATTGTTTCAACTCACAGAAAGAGATCACTTCTTCATTTTCAACATCTGTGGCTAAAGTTCTGCTGTATTTGTTCTCTACCTCTCTGCTGTCAGGTAAAAAGTTAGCTAAACTTCCTGCGTCTTCCTGTTTTTGAACTATGAAGGACTCAGTACCTAAAACCATTTAAATTCTTTTGAAATAAAACCTGACAGCTTTAGTCAATAAACTAACTAGAAATATATATGTATACCTAAACAAAGTCATAACACAGATCTTTGCTGGCTGTAACCTGAGCAAGAATGATTTCTATTACCAGTTAGACTCATATACACTTTGTCTGGCCTTTTCAAAAGTTTCAAAACAACCCAGAAAAGTTCTCAACTGAGCAATAAATGATTACCAGTGAAAACCAATAACTGTAAAAAACTTTTGGCAGAATTTTGTTTTATTAGTAGTAACCACTAAAAATCATTTATCATAATCTCATTCTATTCATTCTAGACATAGTCACCACAGGACACCTATTGCTCAGTCACAAAAAACCCAAACTTGCAAATATAGTTAAGCTTCATAAGCTGAACTCAAGTGGGCAACACATTGACCTTCCTTTTCCAAGTACTAAAAAAATTCTCCAAGTACAGCCTGATAGTAAAGATTTCAAACTAACTTAAACAGAAATACAACTCAAATTTTGCTAACAGTACCTAGTAGCGGAATCAATTGAACAGAAAAATTGAGAGATTATTCACAGTAAATGTAGATATTCTGTATAGGGTGAACCAAATATCTGAAGGCCAATTTCTGTCAAATAACATTAACTAGATTATGCTTAAAAATCATCCACTATCTGTGTTCCAATGGGCATGCAGTCTCATTATAATACTCACATTGTAAAACCTGTAACTGAATATCTACAACATCTCTGTCTTCTCCCAATGTTTCCTTGCTAGCATGCTCTTTCTCCAAAGTTTTTCCAGTCTTAGGTACTTTAAACTCACTACCTGGGAACAAGTTGGCTAAACTTCCTGCTGTTATTTGCTGTTTAAGTAAGCTGTTTCTACCTGACAAGGCCATGTCACTCAATTTTTCCAACTGTAATTTGTTGGCTAAGAAACAAACAACAAACAATCCACTTTAAAATATCCTATGCTCTCATATCTTTGCAAAGCTATGCAGGTTTGTGTTGGAATACTACTCAGCTTTGAGTTACAATTTTATTTAAACATGTCAAGCACCAATCACATTTTCCTTCCACAAAATCTAAATGGTAAAACTTTCTGCAAAGCCACAGAATAACTACAGCAGGATTTTGCACCAACACATGATTACCTCAATCTCATTTAGAGCAACCCAGACAAACTGACCTACCAATAAATCAGAACTACATTAATAAGCATTTAAAATGCAGCTTACTCGGTTGCTCTTCCTCTTCAAATACAAGTCGCATAGCTGCCCTGATTGAACCACAACTAATCCAAAGTCCTTCATCTTCTTGGACTTGATTCAGTGTAATGTTGGTCTCGAACTGGTATAGTTCATTAGAATCTTTAGTTGATGGTGTTGACCGCCGCACACCTGAGAATAATGCACCCCTTCTAGGGAAGACACTAAACACGGCCTCCCCACACTTGTCACCTTCATGCATGGGATTCTCTGGAAGACGATATGCTTCTATCACAAGTTGAATATCCCCATCCACACTCTCTGATATTGAATGTTCAAAAGAAATTGAACTTATTAAGCAATATAACCAATATTTAGATTTGTTTACAACTCAATGCCACCTTGAACAAAACAAGTTTTACATGACAAAGTATAAGGCTGTACACATTACACAAATGACAGGAAGCCTCCACTGCCACATCCCTCAAGAATTTCCTTGTAAGCAGTTCATATTCAGATAAATCCAAATCCTGCATACCAAGCATGGTGCGTTGCAAAGCAATACACACTTTAGAAGAGGTCTGAATGGTGTGTTCCCCCAAATATTAGAAATTCTCAGAGACATGATTTCTAGCTTTCTGAGACATATTTCAGTGACTTTTCCTTGTTAGACATTGACATTAGAATCAGTCAAATCATAGCTATTTACTGTCTGTGATCACAATTCACTAGGACAGTATAAAATGTTTTGACAGCTGGTAGGTTTCATCCCTCATCTGTTAGCTTCTAACAACAACTCTGGATGACAAATATAGATAAAGAGCAATAAACATACCAGGAGGCATCCAAAAGGTGATGACTGAATCTGTGAAAGTCACCAAAGTCTCAGGATCCCCATCTTCTAAACATGCATCTGTAGTAAACTGATAATCCTTCAATGCTACATCAGAACTGCCCACGTATAGCTTCAATTTAGACTGTTTAACCTTGCTTCCAACTATTCTTAAAATCAAAAAGTATCTTCCTGAAGTTACAAATTGGGCATTGAAGATTTCAATGGTGAAGCGAAGGGGCTTATCATCATCTCCCATCCTTAATGAACTTGGTATAACCTGCAAGAGGATATTCAAAAAGAGAAATTATTCTAAATAACATTCACTTTGATAATGTCTGTAGGAGTAATGATAATAATAATTATTTTACTAAGACTGAAAAGACCGGTCAGTGGATCCCTGAGGAAAAACTGGTATAAACAGGTGTTCAGTAAGATAATTACAATTATATAGAGCAAATATTTGCGGTCATTGCAGACGCCTTCCGAACGTGATGCATTTTTTTGAAATTCTTCAAGAGAATATTCGGTAAAATTACCGCACAGCCCCCAACTTCATAATGCATTCAGCTCTTGAATAAAGAAAACAATGACAAAAGCAATACATTGCCATTGGGAAAACAGATTTGTTTTACAATAGTATGGGGCTGTGCGGAAACTTTACCGAATATTCTAAAGGAACCTGGTTATGTTGTGTTGCACAGGTCTCTCCGATTCATTTTGATTAAAGACGAATGAACTTATGAGTTAGACTCGACTTCCGTCGATAATCAAGGGATAAAAGGGATTTGTGAAAAATTTCTGAGTGATTTTCCAAAGCACATAAATTACTCGCCCCATCAGCTGTAAAGTTGACCATCTTTTATTGACTTGCCTTTTACGATGACGACGTTAAATGAATGTGTACAGAGGTCATGCAAATTGCAGTGATAATTCCAATGACAATCTGCACGAAAATGTTTCAAGATGCAATCTCGGCCTATCCTGAACATCATCATATGGAACGAAAACGTAAACAGCTCACAAAAGGCGAATCGTGAGTTGAAGACAAGTATAGATCACAAGAATTAATTTGTTTACCTTTCTCGAAAATATATTCCCTAGCCTGCTCTCTTGCTTAAGAATTCTCCGAGCTGATAAACTTTACCTTCTTTGCCTTGCAAATAAGAGCTTACGTAACATCTTGAAAGAGCATAATGGTTTTCTCCATGGCCTCTTAATGTAAATGTTATGAAAATCACTAGGTGGACACAAATTCTCACTTCGCGACGCTTTTGATTGAAATCACAGTTGCCATAGATTCTCCGCCATGTTTGATTTTGTCACAAGTGTGGGTAGACTGGACACTAATCATTCCTTAGGAGTACATCGCCCCTTAAATTACCTAATCCCTAATCCTACTGTCATCTGATGGTTCGTTCTTGCAAATTAAAACTCTTAAAGAGTTAAAGTTGTAATACGCTGGTAAACTAGGCGGAAATTCATCAGAGAGTAAACTTCCCATCCGATGACAATTTGCAAGAATAGAGTATCACCCCACGCTTTCTTGTGCACGCGGCTCTGCGATTACAGACGACATGGATACAACAGACAATAAAGTACCTTGGAAACTGAAAGACTTGTTTAATAATAGTTAGGACTTAAAAAGAAATCTTCACGAAAAATCTAGCTCTGCGTTCTTTTAGGTCAGTGTGCTTGTCTAGTTAACCGTGTATTCCCAAAATTAGACAATCCGACTGCTAGAGATTAGCTAAGACCCGAATCTCAAATAACTAACAGCCCCCCTAACTGTGCACAACCTTGTTATGATTTGTCGAATACAAAAACTTTATTCTGACAGAAAATGAAAGCCCCTTCTCGGACAAGTCGACAAAAACATAGAAACTCAAAAATAAAGGAATACATAAGCCTCTTATAATTTGTTTTCTTCTTTTAATTTAATCTCAGGTTCATTGTCAAAAAATATGCAGAAAATCGTATCACCTAAGATGGAGCGTCTATCGCAAAGAAGCGAAACATGTCTTTCCATCAGATTTATTCCGGAGGCTTCTGTGCGATTCCCGACGCTTCTTTAGGACTTCGGACGGTTACACACGATTTTGCACGGTTCCACTGGAGTTTGGACTCGTAAGTCCATTTCGGGCGCTTCCGTCCGTTGTCAGATGCCTTAGTTTGATTTTGCACGCTTTCATGACCCGCCCTTTTGAACTTTACGTTCTTATGGAGGCTCTAGTTCAGTTAAAGTGTCTTTTGGATGTGTCTGATTATGGACCCATCCGCCTGATATAAGACTGTATTATCCGATTCTAGACAGTTCCGTCCGATTTCTGATTCCTTTGATTAATTTCGGACTGTTACGTTCGATTCCGATCGCTTCCGTCGGTTTATGGCAGATCTCGGACAGCTTTGTCCATCTTTTGAACCTGTAAGCCCTACTATTAAGCTGAATTTTGATATTTTGAAAGGAGCCGGCTCATTGACGGCTCTTAAATGTCAAGTGATATATGTATGGCGTTTTCCACCAATGTTAGTAACTAATAGAGTACAACAGGTGTTTTCAGTCTCCAGGAAAGCCGCAACCCTGAGCCGCAAATTGATGTAGTTTTATTGTGTCTGGTGCTTTCACTATGAGACTCTCGGCATCTCTTAAAATAAATTTTTTTTAGCTCAGTTTGCACAAATTGCAGTACGAAAGATATACAGTACTGTACTCTACATCGTGAGTATTCAGAAATACTTTTATGCACCACAAGTTCGGTTTGCATGAGTTGTTTTGCTTAAATATCATCGCAAACCATCGAAATATACATATTTTAGCTATAACAGACCACCACCTGTTGTCTTTGGTTTGAACATTCATTTTCTCTTCTTTGATTCATTAGCTACCAACACACAATTCCTAAAATCTCCCTTTTAACACTATAGCTCATGGAGAGATTATTGTGATGCATCGCTTCATGATTTCAGGCGGTACGTTTTAATAGTGGAAAACAAATAGATGTGTATTTTTATACTTAGTTTCACCCCCTATTGCAAGTTTTTTGATGCAATAATTTTTTCAAGCCAGATGGAATAGCTGATAAGGTCTAACCATTTAAACAGTAGAAGATAAACTTAAAATGGAGGTTTTATTATATGCGATTGCAGAGAGCTTCCAGAAGCAGAGGGTACCAAATATTCCCCAGCGTCACACTTATATTTTTAGTTTGGGGCAATTTAGGTGGAACAACCTAATTTTGTTTCGGTTTCCATGTTCATTGTTCTCCGATGATGAGAAGGAATCTCTGAGTGACTAATTAAGATAATTGCAATGCCCTCGGTCATGTACTTAAACGAATCAATTCGCATCAGACAGGTTTACTTCATTATGAAGTAAATGTCATGCGTACATTTGTTGTGGCGTGACATGCCATACGGAAATAGTAAACAGAGTGCAGAAATTCCCGCGAAATATTGCGTAAATTAATTGTTTATTGCCTTGCGACCCTTGAGAGCTTTCTTGTTCAGGCCTTGTCCACGCATAATGAACAAATTTTGCCTTTATCCACGAACCAATCAGACGCTCATTTCACAAATACACAAGATTAGGGAAATTTGCATATTACAGCAGGTTCGTTTACATTAAGTACGCACAGATGTGGAAATTGTCGAGAACTTGTTGTACACTCCCGTGCTGATGCGAAACTAACGCACGAATTTCGGTTTCAAACATTTCTTTCGCCTAATTTGGCATTATTGCCAAGTGACTTTCCGTTGAAACAGAGAAAAGGCGGCGAATTACTTCTCAGAGTTCGCACGGAGCAACTAGTGTGACCTCTATTTTGAATATCGCGATATTTTAACACGATTGAGGAGTACGGAACGGATAATGGGAAATGCGGTAATAGTTTCCGTCCGTCGCTTTCGACCAAGAATAAAGTTTCGGAGACCATTTCATGTGGTCATGTTGGGACTCGACAAGAGTGGAAAAACTGCCATTTTGTATCGAAGTAAGTGGAAAGACTGGAAGGAAAGAATTGTTCCGACTCCAGGGTTTAATGTAGAAACTGTTCGACCGTCTAAAGACTTAAGGTTTAAAATTTGGGATGTGAGCGGAAAAGAACATCTACGTCCGCTTTGGAAGGCATACGTGCGGAAAACGGACGCAATTATTTTCGTTGTTGATAGTGCAAATGAGGATAGAATAGAGGAGGCGAAGGAAGAACTATTCAATCTTGTTAACTCCGCTCAAATAAACGGAGCACCGATTTTGATATTCGCGAACAAACAAGATTTACCGAACGCGTCAGCCCCAATGGAGATTTTAACTAAATTATCGCTTCATAATCTTAGTTCTAATCATTTGTGGCATCTGCAACCGACCTCGGCTGAATGTGGAGATGGCATTTTAGAGGGTCTGCGTGTTTTATCGGACCTGATAGCACAGTGGAAATCTGACATTAAAAACTTAAAGAGCGGCCAGCGACAAAGAAAATTGGCGGCTTCGAGAAGTAACTCGGCCAACAATATTTTGGCATAGATGTTCGGCACAAACTAGTTATTGTTTAGAATGGCCTTTTTTAAAAGTGCTTTGACTCAACAAGAAATTTATTCGTTAAATCTTGTACTGTCATCGAAGTACCGTTTATTTATTGTCATGCGGATTAATTTGCGATCTACGAAAGTTTCCAATTAATTGGTTCGCTGGAAGTGTACTTTACATTCACCATGATGCGAACATGATTTAGCCAAACGGTTCGACTCTTAAACTTTTCACCAACCGTTCATTTTCATCAGTTGAAGGAAACGGATATTAAGGTAACTTATCGCCAAGTTATCGCATCTGCCAAGTTTTGACTTTTGAGGAAACTTCAACACTTACGTTGTGGATATACTAATGTTTACGTTTGTGATAATAGTTATCGTTTTGAAATCCCGTGACTTTGTTGCCGTGAACTTTTTACCAAGGCTTTTCCTCGGTGGCGAAATTGATTATATCAAGAAATGAAAGGCTATTTATTAACGAATACCATCTTTTAACGAAACGAGTTAACTTAATGCAATTTATTGTTTGTTTGGAATACTTCTGATAATTATATCAGCGTGCCGGTAAACTCAGACACCAGGTCAAAAAATTATGTTAAGCAGCACCCTTTTCGTCGGTTCGCTTTACAAAATGGCGTTTATTTTATCGAGAACGGTTTTTTTAATATTATGTATCGTTTTCGAATTGCTGCTTTGCTAACAATAATTATTTCAGCCTTGCACTCTGCCAAAGTCTATTTATTTTGATTGTTAAAACTATAAATTATTTATGACACAAATGAATAACATTTTTCATTGAAGTTGTCGTATGTATACGATTGTGTTTCTTTCTCTAGAAAATAAAATAAAGGTTATTATTGTAATCAGTTGGTGCATGCGTGATGCACCCTGAGTAGTGGTATACACCCAAATAGAAAGAAAGGAAATGGGGCAAAATTGGCAAGGAGTGGTAGAGGAACGGTTTTTTTCACGCTGACTAGCTTGTGGCTTTTGTCACGAAAAAGCAATTCCAGTTGTCTCAACAGAATAATCACAAAAGCAGACGGATTCCTGTTTTCTGATTAACTAATGAGCGGGCAAGAGAGGACTATCTTCCCTGTTCTGTGCATGCGAAAGCGAAATATTAATAGTTGTCCATGTGATAATTCCCCCTACTGAACAAGCTTTTTCGGTCAGCAAGGCTGAATTATCAGCCCATGTCCTCTATGATGGGTTCAATGGACCGGAAAGAAGTCGAATGAACACTTGTAGTCAATATCCATCTACATTGACCTTACAATTATTCGATAACGCACATATTTTTCACTAACATAACAATATTAGTGAGCTGTTAGAGGCTGAAACTTGCCATTTGGGTTTCAGTTGTGATCAGTGCATTAACAGAGTATGACATAGCTATTTAAAGAAAAATGTGGCAATGCGGTGGTGGGTTGTGAAAGCGTGGCGCGAGTTTTCTGGAACAGCAAAACCAGAGTGTGACCATTTTATTTTACCAAACTCTGTTCAAAATTGCTCTCAACTTTAAACTTTTTTCGATCATTTGCCTTGACCCATGTCACAAGCGCTTTAGCACTCGATGATCTGCCAGTCAAAAGCCACCTCTAGAGAATATAACTTTGCCCAAACTGTGTTTTGTCCGGTTCACAGTAGACTGGAGTATGCTGGTTAATCAAGGCAGCAACTTCTTCCTTGCTTGGAAATCTGTACCCATTCAGACGAGCTGAAAAAGGAACCATATACTTCAATCCCTAAACCACAGGTACACCACCTTCTATGTATTCAATTAACTATTTCTGAT